GTGAGCTGTTTCCTTGATATAATCTCTCTCTCTCTCTCTCTCTCTCTCTATATATATATATATATATATATGTATGTATTTATACACTTGACTGGTTTTGCTTCTCTGGAGAACCCAGCCTAAGACAGGTACCTTACGTATAACAGAACAAAATGTTGCTCAGTCCTGTGCCATCTTCATGACTGCTGGTATGTTTAAGTCCATTGTTTTGACTGTTGTGTCAATCCATCTCATTGAGGGTTTCCCTCATTTTCTTTGACCCTCTACCAACCATGATGTTCTTTTCTAACAATTGGCCTTTCCTGATCACATGTCCAAAGTTAATGAGCTGAAGTCTCACAATCCTCACTTCTAAGGAAAAATATGGTTATATTTCTTCTAAGACTGATTTGCTCATTCTTCTGGCAGTCCACAGTATACTCAATATTCTTCACCAACACCACAGTTCAAGTGCATCAATTCTTCTTCTGTCTTCCTTTTTCACTGTCTAGCTTTCATATGCATATGAGGCAAAAATGGTCAATAAGTACATGAAAAGATGTTCAACATCCTTGTTCATTCCAAAAAACCCAAACCTGTTGCCCTCGAGTCAGTTCAGATTTATAGTGACCCTACAGGACAGAGCAGAACTGTTCCATTAGGTTTCCAAACAGTAGCTGGGGGATTTGAACTGTCGATCTTTTGGTTAGCAGCAGAGCTCTTAACCACTGCGCTACCAGGACTCCAACCGGTCATTAGAGAAATGAAAATCAAAACCGTAATGTGATACCACTTCACACTCACGAGGATGGCTATAATAAAAAAGATGGGCAAGGATGTGGAGAAACTGGAACCTTCATACATTGCTGGTGGGACTGTAAAATGGTGCAGTCATTTTTGAAAATGGTTTGGCAGTTCCTCAAAATGTTAAACATAGAGTTACCATATGACCCAACAATTTCACTCTTAGGTATACACCCAGGAGAAGTGAAAACATATGTCCACATAAAACCTTATGTCTGGAGTGTATATTAGCAGAAAAGTGGAAACAACCCAAATGTCCATCAAATGGTGAATGGATAAACAAAATGTAGTATATCCACGCAACGAAACATTATTCAGCCATAAAAAGGAATAAAGTACTGGCTCATGCTACAGCATGGGTAAAACTTGAAAACATTCTAAGTGAAAAAAGCCAGACACAAAAGGCCACGTATTGTATGATTCCATTTACATGAGATGTCCAGATAGGCAAGTCCACAGAGACAGAGAATACATTAGTGGCTTCCAGGGAATGGGGAAAATGGGGAATGACTGCTAATGGGTACAGGGTTCTTTTTGAGGTGATGAAAATGTCTGCAATTAGATAGGGTCATAGTTGCACAGCTCTGAGACCATACTAAAAACCATTGAACTGTATACTTTAAAAGGATGAATTTTATAGCATGTGAATTATACCTCAATTTAAAAAAAGTTGTTGTTGTTGTTAGGTGCCATCATAGCAACCTTATGTACAACAGAACAAACCACTGCCCGGTCCAGAGGGGAATATTTACTCACTTTGGCACTAATTTGCCAAGAAGCCCTAATGCTTTCACTACAGAACAAGTGCTTACTATACATCTCAAAAACAAACCACAAATTAAGTTCTCACAGAGACAATTCTCATGGCCTAGGTGTTTATAGTCACTACCAAGCAGCACCAGATTGGAATCGGTAATCTAGGAGGAAAATGTTCACTTTCACTACTAAATCCATAGAACTATGCATTTGTTGTTGCAACAAATGCTTTCCTTCCTTTCCTAAAACTTGTTCATGTGGTTTTTCAAAAGATTTAAAAATATATACACTGTAGTCATTAAAATCTTAACAACCATGCAAACTGTTGGCTAAAGTTGTCAAATGTAAACAATGTATTTTGAAAAATGATATGGGAAAGTTATAAGCACATTTCCCTATATTCCTGTATTTTAGGTAGCTTGATTAACTATTCCACGTACTCTAGGGTATGGTGTGTTCTGGCTAATAAAATTCCAGTAGATAATTACCACATACATACGCACATATTACAAATAATCAAATAATTTACACTCTAAATGTATACCTAACACTGAGATTACACTGAATCTTATCCTTTTCTCGTGATTCATCAGTCTATTCACTTTAAACACAAATTATTATTTTACATTAAATAGGAAGTGCTGTTTCTTTTACCATTGTTGAATATGAGGCACTACTGAATCATCCCAGTATTCTATATACCCTTCCCCCACTTCACCTCCTCTTCCACCCCCAACAGAATTATTTTATGACCTAAATTTTTGTATTCATATAACTATGTCCATCTAGATAGTCTCTGACGATTCTACAGTCTTTGGAAACACTACCTTACATTGATGACTAAATTCCAGTCTAATTATGAAGCACAGAGACTTTATTATACCAAATTGCCATACCTCCTATTTTATGCACTTTCCATGAAGTATCATGTTATTGGAACCTAAGTGTGTTAGTTTCACACATTATTTTGAAAATATATATATATTGTTCTCTAAGGCACTGAAGAGTCAACACAAAGGATTAAACTGGAAACTATAACTGTCCCAGGGGGAAGGAAGGTAGTACATTTAAGAACAACTCTTCCCCAGCTCCTAATTGAAAATGATCCCTCCAAAACTCCTAATTTTTTTTTTCACATGCTCTATCAACTTCTTTAACTGTTACCTTGGTCTTTTCCAGCTTCATCTATATGCTGAAATTCTTTTAGTGTTTGAAGGTTACAGAACCTCTCTCTGCAATGCTGAATAACTTTCTTTGATCCATTCTTGATGAGGTAATCCATTAGTGTAAGGGATTTATACACATGGCGCCAGTTCTTCCCATGGTCATTGAGTCTCTGCCATAGGATATTCATAATCTCTGAGAGAGAAATCGTGTTGAAAGTCAGGTCACTGATATCTAACATCAGAGAACTAGAAGGACCCCAAGGGTCATTAGAAGTCGCTTCCCTGACTTTTATTTCAGCATCTGAGTAATTTTTCACAAAATTTTTCACTTGCCTCCTGAATGCCATAGGTAAGACAAGTTTGAAGGTGAGAGCAATGGAATAAGAGTTTGTGTGACTCGTTTATAAAACTCTTGACAGGTCATTGGTCCCCAGCTCTGCTGTTCCCAAATACAAATGATTCATCTCCATGTTGACAAAGTATCAATTTCCTGCAAAGAAAAGCACAAAAATAGGTAAGTTAAACATTTTTTAAAATGTTTGTAGATCAAGTCAGTCTGAAAAATCTAGGTTTAGTTTCTAAATTAGCCCCTCACATACATCAGCCAGAATTGAGGGTACCATATATATTTTCCTAGAATGGGTATGGGGAAATCCCTCATAAGTGATTGGCCTATATTATATAAAGAAATATAAGTGGTCTTTCTTTCTAGTCCTAAAAGTTTTCACAGAAAATACCATCCAACCTCTTTGGCCAGAAATATAATGATTATAAACCATCAGACAGGCAGTGGGTGAGTTAGTATAAGAAAATGGAACTTGTGCTCTGACATCTTATGCCTAAGATATATTGTCATAAACAAAAACATTATGCTCTGAAAGTAATTAAAATGATAGTGAAAATTAAGCTTTACATTCATCAAGTGACCCTATGATTGTATTCTTTTCAGAACTAAAGTCATTAAAATCGGATCCAAGTATGGTCTGCTTTCTTCTTCATCTAAAAAGGGGGAGCTGTACCTCAGCAGACTCCACAGCTAATTCATGATACCCTGAACCACTATTTTAGTCCAGATAGGGCTGGTGAGTTTGAGGAAAAGGTTGAATTACTTTCTTCACTCAGCTTTAAAAAAAGAAGTATGAGTTTAGGATTAAACAGTGTCAGCAGTAAGATTCAAACAGTGTAAAGACTTCCCTAAAACCTGGAGTAATCAGCATGTGTCTGTCAGCTCTCTGAAGAAGACACACGAGAGGCCCATTCAGACTGATATGTTAAAACTTAAAAGGTGTATGCAGCCCCTAAACCAGAAATGCTTGTGAACTGTCAATTCACCGGGCACATGAGAACCATTCCCTTTCCTCTTTTTCATTACTTTGCATTAAGGTGGGTCAGTTGGTTTGCAGTTTCTCTAGTGATCTACCACTGATGGTCACCAAGATGGTGTACCAAATTGATTTCAAGCCCTGACAAGCATCCAGGCCCAATGAAGCCTACACAATCTATAATTAGACATTACTAGAGACAGTGCACATATACAAAGACAAAAATGTTAAAATCCATAACAAGTGTGTTTGTTATTTTTAGTTTTGTTTTCCTCCTTGACTTTGTCATCCCCTAGCGCAGGCTTGATTCATTCCTGTGTGTGTTTTCAAGGAAGACATAAATTTTCAGAAGCATTCTAAATGAACTATCATTTCTTTTTCTAAAAAAAAAAAAAAAAAGGAAAGAGGATAATTAAATTTTCTCTTTTTTGGGGGGGTAAAAGTACAATGCACCCTCAAATAAGCAAGATAGAAAATGTATCGGTTTAATTAAGATTTCTCAGAAAGACGATCATCAATCCTAGGAAGAAAAAGAGAGGTTGTATGTTTTTACAACTTTTTGATTTTCTCTCTTGTTTGCACTTCAAATATAGGCATTTTTATCTGATTCACTCCTGTGGCAAGAACCTGATTTATAATGTGTTTCAATAAGCTATTAAAATTTTCAATCATGAGGGTTTTCTTTTTCTATTGTCCTTTTTTCCACTCTACCAAACTCACTCAGTGCAGAGATGTGCTGTGACATTGGCTTAGAGCAACAAATATTGATTTGTTTCCGCACAAATCTATTTTTAAAAAAATCCTGTTAGAATCACAACTTGCTGGAATTGAACAGCCATTAAAACTTTTTTTTTCTTTTTATGATAGCTACCTATCTTAATTTTGGAGGGACAATCCTAATTTTTAGGTTTTCCTATATTCGCTAATGTGCATTATTTAATTTTTAAAAAGTATTTTCTTAAATTAATTTTTTGTCCTAGAAAAATACAAAAATAATAAACTTCTATTCAGTATAGTAGTTTAAAATGGATGTGCTTGACACCATACCAAAATTAGATATTCCCAACCATTAGAAAAATCTCAAAAAAAGTCTAGATAAGTGAATTCATATCATTTACTAATATACAGTACTTTCTGACATGAACAAAGACTATGAAAGATATCATTCTACTATAGATGTTTTTAGACTAATAAGGAGTTGAATTAATTGGTGTTGGTTATAAATTATATGCCAGTCTATCATATGTTTTAGATGCCTGGCTATATACAAATACCAAGTTTACTTATACCATCAAATAACCTTGAGGTTTCAATTATAGTGATGTGACATCTGAGACAAAATTAGTGCCCACGACAATAAATTTCCACACCTGGATCTCAGTTTTCTGGCTATTGAGAAACAGAAGGAAGAAAGGGTATTTTACATCACAAATCTGTTAGCTCCTCCAAGGGGCCTTCACTGACCTCACTAACTACTTAAGTCTCCCCAGCATACTTGTTTCAGCACCCAGTTTATTTTCGTCATGGCACTTATCATGATCTATACTTATGTGTTTGTCCATTTGCTCACTGCCTTTCTCTACCACCAGACTGGGAGCTTCTTGAGGACGTTGATCATCTTACTTACCACTTACCACTATAATTCTATTGCCTAACAGGTACCTCCAAAAAAACCAAACCCATTGCAATCTAGTGGATTCCAACACATAGCAACCTTGTAGGACAGAGCAGAACTGCCCCATAGGGTTTCCAAGGCTGTAAATCTTTACAGAAGCAGACTGCCACATCTTTCTCTCTCGAAGAGCAGCTGGTGGGCTCGAATCAACCTTCTGGTTAGCAGCCAAGCGCTTAACCACTGCACCACCAGGCCTCCTAACATGTACCTAGCACATAGTAAATACTCAAGAAACATGTGTTGAGTGAATGACAGAATGACTGAATGATCTGTCTTGGGATAAACCTGCATCGATTCTACAGGTTTGGATTATAAACATGGCATTTTGAAAATAAAACCTAGCTCTTGTAATTGTCAAGTAAAATTCTGGTGTTTTGAGCAAATATTTTCAAATCAATCAGCAAATATTTCTGAGTGTCTATCATTTATACAGCTTTGTGGAGGATATAAAAATAGAAAACATGATCCCTACACTCAAAATGCTTACAGTTTGGTTAAGGAGATTTCTCCCTTAAATAACTCCAAAATAAACAAATGATGAGGACTCCTACTTTTCTTTTTAGATCTGCCCACTTCCACAATGCTTTATCAAGGCTGTTCCCTAATACACACACGCACACACCCTTAAGCCCCTTACCTTACCTGAATCATAACAGAAAATCATGTAAATTTTCAAGTGACATTAAACTACTGGTCCATAATCTCTTATCCAAACCTCTTGGGGTCAGAGGAGTTGTGGAATTCAAATATGGGGGGATTTTTGAAGGGCAATGCAGTGTCTATACCATATATGACATGATACTCATAGCAGGATGTGGGGCAGCTCTTCAAAGTCAAATCCAGTAACATGTCTGCAACAAAACATGTAAATATTCATACCAAGTGGAATAAATAAAGACTATAAATGGCCTCTCTTTAGTTCATGTTTTGCTGCCAAATTATATATGTTAAGAAAAAAATTGTTTTGGTTTTCAAAACTTTTTGGATTTCAGAATTGAGGATAAGGGATTGAGAAGCTGAATTGACTTTATCCAAAGATACAGGGCAATAATAGCAACAGTATGTAAGAGGCTGGTGCCTAGAGGCAAAGACACACTTAGAGTAGTGCTGTAAGGAGAAGGGAGCTCTTGTATATGGACAGGTTAAGGAGAAGGCAGCTCTTGTATCTGGACAGGTTCTGCCCATCAACATGAGTTAGACTCAGGTAACTCAGGAGGAAATAAGCTCTGGCCAAGATTGTTACGGTAGAACGATTATAGGGAATATCATGGCATTAGGTGTTACTGATTTAATGCAAAGACCATGGCAAGAGGCAGAGAAACTAACTTTTTTTTAACCCTAACTGTGTGTTCATTCATTCAGCTAATAATTTTTGAGAGCTTGCCACGTGGCAGGCACGTTTCCAGGAAAGAGAGAAACAGGTGCATGAGACTGTCTCCGCCCTGTGGTGTAAATGGCAATTCTTTATTGACTGCTCACTGTGTGCTCACACAGTAATCTTACTTGGAACCTTCACGTACCTCGTCTCATTACTTTAATTAGGATTCCAAAGGCGTGAATTTGAGGTCTGCTCTGCCATTTGCTAATTAGGGCTTAAGAATTTCTCTGAGCCTCGGTTCCCTCAACACCAGATAGGGCTGTGAAGTACATAGGTAAAGTAGAGGGTCAGTGAAAAAGAGGAAGATGTTCCACGAGATGGACTGACACAGCGGCTGCAATAATAGGCTCAAACATAGCAACGACTGTGAGGATGGCACATGACGGGGCAGTGTTTCGTTCTGTTGTACATAGGGTTGCTATGAGTCGGAACGAACTCAACAGCACCTAACAACAACAGGGCTGTTGAGAGGAAGAAATGAGGTGCTTGGGAAAGCGTTTTGAAAGTGATGGTGGGGGCTGAGGGAGAATCAACTCCTGTAGACTGGGTCTTTCAGTGGTATCCATTTCTTCATTCATCCAACAACCATTTCAGAATGACTACTGTTTGCTGGGAGGGCCCTGTGCCGGGCACTGGGTCACACAGATGAATCAGACGAGCGCCCTCAGGGTAGCAGCAATTTAGTGCAGAGGGGGAGGCTTGTCTGCAGGGAAGTTCCTAGAAGTAGGGAGGAACGTGATGGCGTCACACCACAGGGCCCTCCCTCACACAGGCTGAGCCACGTAAATCCTTTTGTGACGGTCTCTTTGCCTTCCTCCCCTGACCTGCTCAGCGTGGGATGGGAGCTGACAGTTCCAGGCTCCTCTCCATTCCTACCCCCAAACACAGGTCTTTACCTGAGGGGAAAGTCCAGCTGCCGCAGTGGTCGGTGCCTTTTCCCGCTCAAATTCAAAGCCCGTGCTTCCCCTACCG